GGGAATAGTTAAGGTTTTTATAAGCAGGAGAGGGTAAAGGGAGGTAAGGTTTCTACACTGCACTTACTGCCTTGATACCCACGAACCAGGACAAATACGTATCTAGAACAACCACTTCAGAGTCTGTGCAATGTAATACACTCGAAAGCAGGATCGAGTCAGCCTGGAATTCAGGTGGCCCACAGGAGAGCAAGAAGACAAAAATTGAGAAGTGGAATAAACAAAATTAAAGTGGCAGGCAAAAAGTCAGAAGGAAGTTCAAAGTCTCCTCAACGTTTAATATAACCTTGATTTCCCAGGTAGCATTCCATCCTCTGTGGTGTCACAGTCCCACAGGTACTTCTCTCATGGCTGTTGTAACATGGATTGTAATTTTGTGTCTAGTCATTTGCCTCCTTTACCATTCTGAGCTTCTTACGGCTGGGAATTGTGTTCCCATGTTTGTATAGCCCCAGTGCCTAATAAAGCACTCCTTCAATAGGTGTGGGAAAAGATAAAGACTTCAGCGGATTTAAAGATGTTGAAAGTAAAACAATCCTTGAGTGTGTAATAGGAGAGTCTATAAAAGACAAAGTCCATCTCCCCCAAACCAAATCCATCCTAATTTTGTCACCATTGGATGTCACTGCACCAAATTCTTAGTCTGAAAATTGATAATTCAAGGGGAGGAATTCAGATCTATCCTGTGTTTTTAGCATTTCCGGATGTCCAGATAACCTGTACAGCTCTTCTTTACAGAAGAATTCTGGCTAAGGTAGAAGGAATGACAGAAAACCACCACTTTGTAACTCCCAGTTAAATACCTGAGTGTGAAGCAAGGATCATCAAGGATAATAAAGCCCTGAAGTGAAACATTTAAGTGATGTGAAACTGAATATTTTGTGGTTGCTAAAGATTCCCCTCCCATAAACAACCCAACCTCCCTCATTTGGTAAATGGATAAACACACTGGCACAGCTACACAGTGGAATACTACTCAGAAATGAAAAGAAAAGAACCAATAAGCAAAATGACACAGATGGATCTCAAATGCATTATGCTAAGTGGCGACTGGCTGGCTCAGTCGGGGGATCTTGCAACTCAATCTCAGGGTAGTGAGTTCCAGCCCCATGCTGGCCGTAGACCCTACTTAAAAGTGAAGTAAAATTATTTTTTAAAATGCATTATGCTAAGAAACCAGACCCAAAAGGCTATATACTGAAGATTCCATTTATATATGGAGAAGGCAAGAACCTTAGGGACAGGAAACAGATCAGTGGTTGCCAGCAGGGGGGGGTGGAAGTATTGACTATTTGCGTAATGGAAATGTATTCTCTTTGATTGTGGTGATAGTTATGTGAATGTATGTATTTGTCAAAACTCACACTCTAAAATGGTGGCGAATTTTACTGTATATAAATTACACCTTAATTTAAACAAAACGAAACAAAAAACAACCAACAAAGAAATCACCCCATAGATTGCTTAGTGGGCTCAAGGTGTGAAACATGCCTTAACAAAGCACAGGTCTGGTTATCACAGCCTCACCCGTGATCAGTTTCAGCTGCACTAAAATGGGACAACCAGATGTTGGGTGCCTCCTAATGTGAATTTGGAGTACAGAGCAACACCCAGGAGAGAACTGTCTAAGAAAATGTTCAGACAAATCCAGAATGTGAAGGGGCATCTCAACTGGCTTAGACTCCAGGAAGGTATCATGAAGATTAAAAAAGAAAAAAAAGGGTGAGGTGGGTGGGAGAGGGTGGATCTGCCAATATAAAAAACGATTAAAGCCAGGTGCCTGGGTGGCTCAGTTAAGCATCCAACTCTTGATTTTGGTTCAGGTCATGATCTCACAGATGGTGAGTTGGAGCTCCACCTCGGGCTTTTTGCTGACAGCATGGAGCCTGCTTGGGATTCTTCTCTCTCTCTCAAAATAAATAAATAAAGTTAAAAACATGATTAAAGAGTCATATAATCCTTGATTCAACTCTGCTTTGAACAAACCAGCTATGAAAGACATTTGGGGGACAATTAGGGAAATTTGAACATGGGCTTGTTATTAGATGGTATTAATTTTATTAGGCATAATAAATGTAGTGTGGCTTTGTAGGATATTGCTTTTTAGAGATGCATGTTTAGGTATTAGGGATGAAATGTCATATTTTGAAGTTTACTTCAAAATACTTCCACCAAAATAAATGAATGGCTGTAGGAGGAGGAAGCAGAAGTAATATGAAGGGGCAAATCAGGGGTATGGGCCCATCGCCTGTGCCTGCTCCACTTAAGATGGAATGCAGGCTCCTTCCAGAGATCTCTTGAGACCAGACCTGACCTGAACTTGTTTGTGTGTCTGTCCTCACCTGCCAGCCCTCCCCCCAGCCCCACTCCAGCCACACAAGCCTTCTTTCAATGGGCCAATGCTTTTTCTCCCTGCAGACCTTTGCCCTGGCCTTTCCTCTTTCCTTCCATCTGGTCTATAGTCTTCTTGGCCCCCTCCCCCACCCCCATCTCCTGAGGACTCTACCTAAGTGTCACCTCAAAGAGACCCTCCCCCAAGGAACCATCTGAAGTGGGTTCTGCTTCTCTGCCCGCCTTTTGTTGCTCGGCTGCACTTGCCACCGGGCAGGTGGTGGTGATGTTTCTGTTTATGTGTTCTGTCTGTGTGTTGACATTTAGGGGCCACTACCGGGTCCCCAGGGTCTTAGTTTATCACGCACCTGGGCGCACCCAGAGCACAGCTGCAGGCGCCTGGGCCTTTGCTGCTGTTTCCTGCTGTGAGTGCGACCCCGTCCAGGACTAGCCGGGTGACTTCCTACCCCCCGCCCGCCAGCTGCGGAGACAGCTGCAACCCGGGACGTCAGACCGACCCTGATCCCGCCGGCGCCGGGCAGCGGGAAGCCAGGTTCCTCAGCCACCTCCCAGCCAGGTGACTGCCCCCAAACCTTTCCCGCACCGGAGCCCCCAGCCCACCCCGCCCAGCCTCTGCCACCCACCCGAGAAACTACACTTCCCAGCAGGCGCGGGAGCGGGGACCTCGGCTCCCAGCGTGCTCTTAGGCGCGGCCCGGCCCCCCGCGTTAACCCCTCAATGGCTGCAGGCTGGCGGAAGTGGCGCGGGGCGCAGGTATCCAGGGGCTTGGGGAACAGCAGAGCTGAGGAGGGGATGAGATTGGGGGTCCTTGGGAGGAAGAAACCTGAGGTTAGCGGAAGCCGGGCAGCGAGGAGGAGAGTGAAGGGGAGGCGAGCACTGCGGGGGGACGGGGGGGATCCCGCTCCGGCCCCCGCAAATTAGGAATCTGGAAGTTCACCTTTTCCCAAAAATGAAACTTTCGGGTGCCAGGTCCCGGACGGCGCTGAGGAGGAGGACACGGGTAAGGGAGTCTGCCCTCGCTAAATGCCCCCGTCTGTCCCATACGCAACTTCACTTGAGCTCGGCAAGTCCAGGAAATGGAGAGTTGCAAACTCCCCTCCCTCGGCCAGGCGGGAGGGGGCGAGGGTGAACTAGTGGAGTTTGTGCCCCTCCGCCCGGGGAGCTGACCTGGGCGTTTTCCTGTGACCCTCCTGGACCATGGCCTGGAGCTCGGGAGCCCTTCCTGTCACCCCTGTCCTCCCTCTGAGTTGTGGGGACCTGGCTCCAGTGCAGATGTGCCTGGAGACTCCTGCCTTCCCTCCCCCTTGTCCTCACTCTGGTCCTGACCAGTAGGTGGTGGCAGGCTGGCCAAGCGCTGCCAGCTGAGTCTCCGATCCCTGATTTCCCAGGAGGGGTCAGGTTCACTCCCTCAGTAGTTGTGGACCAGATGCAGGCCAGCTCCTAAGAAATGGAGTCATGAGCCAATTGAGCTTGCACTCTGGGTGGGGGTGGAGGTAGAGACAGATAACTTCAGATTCTGGGAGTGCCAAGAAGAAAAGAAAACTCTTCTCTCAAGTATCCCAGACAGAAGGGACAGCAGAGGCAAAGACATGGGGATGGGAAGACCATGTGCTTGGAACAAGCAGTGAGGGGCAGTCTGGGAGGAAATGAGATGATCGGATGGGCCCAGGAAGGATCTGGACTTTATTCTTTTTTTTTTTTTTTTTCCTAAATTTTTTGTTTATTTATTATTGAGACAGAAACAGAGCATGAGTGGAGGAGGGGCAGAGAGAGGGAGACACAGAATCCGAAGCAGGCTCCAGGCTCTGAGCTGTCAGCACAGAACCCGACGAGGGGCTCGAACCCAAGAACCGTGAGATCATGACCTGAGCCAAAGTCGGACGCTTAACCAACTGAGCCACCCAGGCGCCCCAGGACTTTATTTTAAAAGCATGGCAGCCCATGAGAGCCCATAGAAAGTGTTAAGTGAGGCAGAGTCCTGCTTCCCCAGCCTGAGCTCCACAGTGCCCAGCACTTGCAGGTGGGGAACAGATCTTGCGACCAGGCCAGCTGACATTTCTGCCAGTCCTAGCTGGGTGCGGCCCCCTCTGATCCTCAGGGTTCTCCTCTGTAAAATGGGCTGATAATTTGTACCTCACGAGGTGACACTTGACCCGACCTACTGTCATCCTCCCCCCACAGGGCCCAGCCACCCCTTGCACAGAATGCCCGAGGGCCCTGAGCTGCACCTGGCCAGCCGCTTTGTGAATGAGGCATGCAGGGGGTTGGTGTTTGGCGGGTGTGTGGAGAAGTCCCCCGTCAGCCGCAACCCTGAGGTGCCCTTTGAGAGCAGTGCCTACTGTATCTCATCCTTGGCCCGCGGCAAGGAGCTGCGCCTGACCCTGAGCCCCATGCCTGGGGCCCAGCCGCCGCGGGAGCCACTGGCCCTGGTCTTCCGATTTGGTATGTCCGGCTCCTTCCAGCTGGCACCCAGCGAGGCGCTGCCAGCCCACGCCCACCTGCGCTTTTACACGGCCCCGCCCGGCCCCCGACTCGCGCTTTGCTTCGTGGACATCCGCCGCTTCGGCCACTGGGACCTTGGGGGCGAGTGGCAGCCGGGCCGCGGGCCTTGTGTCTTGCTGGAGTATGAGCAGTTCAGGTAGGCCCAGCACCAGGTGGGGTGAACCGGCTCGGGCTCCGGCCTGGCTCTGTTAGCGCCTCACTGGCCGATGCGCAGTGAGTCTAGCCCCCTCTGGCCCTCAGTCCCTTCATGTGTGGACCAAGACAGTGTCCCTTCCTGGGGACAGCTCCCTGAGCGAATGGATGTGGAACCCCAAAACTGACGTGGGGGTGGGCAAAAGGAAGGGTAGGTGTGCCCTGAGGACATGTGGCCAGTTTGAGTCAGAGCTGGGGATCAGCATCTCCTTGCTGCACTCGGGAGGTTTGAGAAGAAAGGTGAAGGGGCTTTAACCACCTGGTAAGATGGGAGGCCAAGAAGGAACGGCTTCAAGGGGGTGGGCAGGGGACTGCTTGCCTGATGACATGGTCTCTGAATCAGGTTTGTGGTCTCCCATATTCTGCCTGCCCACTGGTCTGTGACAGCCCCACGGTGTCCTCTGTGCGAGGGGTAACAGCTGGGACATAATGCGTGTCACACAGGATGGCACAGCGTCAGCCACTTCCCTTCCTCTAAAGGTGAACCGTGTACGGGTTCCTATTTCGTGCCAAGCCCTCCTCTACGTGTTGGGGTACAGCAGTGATCAGGACAGCCACGGCCCCTGCTCCCACAGAGCTGAAGTTCAGATGGGGAAGGGGGACAAGGAAACCAAGCAGATGAATTCCAGTAGATACAGGCCTGAAGGAAGATCCAAGAGGTAGAGAATGACTCTAGGCTGGGGGCGCACTGGGGGGATTAGGAAAGGCCACTGTCGGTGACATTGGAGCTGAGGCCTGCCTGATGACAAGGCTCCAGGCCTGCAAAGCTGTAGGGGAAGAGCAGTGTAACAGACAAGAACCACAGACGTGAAGGCCCACAGTAGACCTGGCAACTCCTCCCTTCCCTGGGGACGGCATGCTTTCTGTTGGTCCTTAGACTTGGTTGCCCGAGAGCGTGGGTCAGGGCGTCTCTACCACCACAGAAGCCACTCGACTCCTGGCCTTCTCAGGCATGGCCCCCAGTGCTCCCCGGGGGCGGGGCTGTCACCATGCCGGATTCTTCCCAGCTTACCTTGCCTGGGAAGTCGTGCCCCATGCTAACTCTGCCAGCTGGCTCTGAAGTTCCCATCACCCGTGGAGCATCGCAGTTTACTTGGTCTTATGGCGGGGGAGGCTATGGGGGACCTACGCCTCTCAGTGATCTGACCACCTAGGCGACTGTCCCCTCTTCCCTTTACCCCATACTCTGTCTTCTGGCCCCCACTTCATATGCTCCTCACGCCCATTACTGAGTCAGTCTTGCCATGGTCTTTTCCCACAAAGAAACAAGATGCGTTCCCCAGCCTGAGCTCCACAGTGCCCAGCACTTGCAGGTGGGGAACAGATCTTGCGACCAGGCCAGCCGACATTTCTGCCAGTCCTAGCTGGGTGCGGCCTCCTCTGATCCTCAGGGTTCTCCTCTGTAAAATGGGCTGATAATTTGTACCTCACGAGGTGACACTTGACCCGACCTACTGTCATCCTCCCCCCACAGGGCCCAGCCACCCCTTGCACAGAATGCCCGAGGGCCCTGAGCTGCACCTGGAGGTGGGGTGGGGGCTGCTGGGACACTCACTGGCCAGGACCTGCCACCACATACCTGCTACACAGAACCAGCACCAGCTTCCTTGGAGATCTTCAGGGTCTTGAGAACAGCTGACTCCACCAATGTCAAGTCCTCATAGCTAACCAATCACAAGCTCTAGACAGGGAGTTTCAGACTGCAGGCAAAGTCTTGAATCTGAGGACTTTGGTGATATATGCACAACATATACAGGCTCACGTGTGTGTCCTTGAACACATTGCTTTTGATTGGTACTTTTCACCTTTCATAGTGAATTACAGCCTTATATTGATGTTCCCATTTAAATTTTTTTAAATGTTTTTATTTCTGAGAGAGACAGCGTGAGCAGGGGAGGGTCAGAGAGAGAAGGAGACACAGAATCCAAAACCGGCTCCAGGCTCTGAGCTGTCAGCACAGAGCCTGATGCGGGGCTCAAACTCACGCACCGTGAGATCATGACCTGAGCCAAAGTTGGACGCTTAACCCACTAAGCCACCCAGGCGCCCCTTGATGTTCCCATTTAACATATAGGAAAACGGAGGTTCCTGCTGCCAAAATAGCACTGAGGCCGGGAAAGGGGAATTGGGACTCCCGCGTTCCTTCCCCTTGCACCCAGGAACAGACACTCCTGTGGCAAGGCATTAGGGATGGGGGTATAGAATGGGTCTCATGGGCCCAGCTGTGTTCCTCCAGGGAGAACGTATTACGAAACCTAGCGGACAAGGTCTTTGACAAGCCCATCTGTGAGGCCCTCTTGGACCAGAGGTTCTTCAACGGCATTGGCAACTATCTTCGGGCAGAGATCCTGTACCGGTCAGCAGGCAGGCCACAAGGACTAGGGAGGGCTGGGTGCGCCCACATCCCCCACTGCTTAGCCTCCCTCCACCCCACTGCAGATTGAGGATCCCCCCCTTCGAGAAAGCCCGCAAGGTTCTGGAGGCACTGCAGCAGCGAAGGCCGGTGAGGATGCAGGAAGGGATGCCCTGGTACCTACCTTACCCTAACTGTGTGGGCGGGGCCAGGTGTCTCCAGCTTAGCTCAAGCACTTCCTTTCTTGGCCTTGGGTCGGTTCCCTTTCCCTGCAGTGTGGGGGATGGGGGGTGGGAGGGGGCTGCTGATGAATGATCTCTGAGTCCTGCCAAGCTCTGGGGCTCTGCTCCCAGAGATTCAGCTGCCTTCTCAGTGGTCATGTGTCTGGCTGACAGCCAGGTCCTGCCCCTGCCCCTTCTCCAGAGCCCGGAGCTGACCCTGAGCCAGAAGATCAAGGCAAAGCTGCAGAACCCAGACCTGCTAGAACTGTGTCACTCGGTGCCCAAGGAAGTGGTCCAGCTGGGTGAGGCCTGGAGGGCAAAGCCGGCTGACTACCTCTGCGGCAGCATGTGGTGTAACCCCAGGGCAATTCCTGCCCCCCCTGGGACAGGGATGTCCTGTCGTAGATCTAGTTGTTACTAAATGGACTCCGCCTCCTCACTTGTTAGGTATCTATGTCCTCTCAGGTGCCCACGAGGCAGGCGGGACCAGGATTACTAACCCCTCTCCAGGTTGGGAAAGCATTAGCCCAGAGTGGGGAACACACCAGCCTGAGGGCATGCACAGCTGGAGGAAGGAGAGCCTTGGCCCTCTGACTCAGCCCCTCGTCGCTATATAGCCGAGGTCTGAGCCAGGTTGACCAGGCTCCCCTCCTCTCAGCCTGAGTCAGCCCTCTGACTTCTGCCCGGTTCCTCTGTCCCACAGGGGGCAAAGGTTACGGGCCGGAGAGCGGGGAGGAGGACTTTGCTGCCTTCCGGGCGTGGCTACAGTGCTATGGCATGCCTGGCATGAGCTCCCTGCAGGACCGGCGTGGCCGCACCATCTGGTTCCAGGTTTGGGCCCCGAACTCACACAGTTAAATGCAAGTCCCGAGGAAGCTAGTGGGGCACTAGCTGTGATCTGGGGTCACAGTGGGGCAGGAGCTGGGGGCTCTGAAGTGGAGATGCCCAGGGCCTGTCAAGGCCCCCAAGGGTCACACTGTGCCTGATGGTCTATGTCTTCCCTGTGCTGTGCCCCTCCCTCCCTCAGTCCCAGGGTCCCAGCTAGCAGAGCAGCCCAAGGCAGGGTGGCCTTGTTGATGACGCTCTCACCTGGGGAAGGCGGGGTGGTCAGAGAGGCTTCTGGTTGAAAAGCCCCACCGATCTGGAAGGATGGTATGAGCTCTGGCTCTCCAAGAGGAGCTACCTCTGCCCCAACCAGGCTGATCCCTGAATTCCCCTCATTCCATTTCAGGGGGATCCTGGACCCCTGGCACCCAAAGGTAGGCTACTCCTAATGTGACAAACTAGGACAGCACAAAGAACTAGATGCCTGCAGGAACTACCTCACCCTTCCCCATCCCAGTCCCCACTCCACCCCTGGGGGTCACCCCAGAGGGGGAGAGTCTGCAGAAAGGGGGCTGAGGCCACAGCCCCCTCCAAGCCCAGTGTCAATGTCCTGCAGGGGGCAAGTCCCGCAAGAGGAAATCCAAAAGAGCACAGCAGGATCCTGAGGACAGATTGGAGGTATGGCTCTCCCTCTGCCATGGCCACACCTCCCCGGTGCCCTCCCTTGACAATGGGGGGCAGTGGTGGGTCCGAACCAACCTCTGAACTGCTCACTGAGCTCCTTGAGGACCTGTATCCCCTCAGGACCCTCTCCTTCCAAGCACTGCCCCTTCCAGAACACGTGGGGCACAGAGAGGCCTTCCTGAGCAAACTACAGCCCAGCAGCCCGAGGGGACCAGCCTCCCGCAGGACCCAGAAGTCCCTCTAGTCCCTAAGAAAGGAAAAAGGAGGGGGCGACCGACAACCTCAGGTGGGCAACAGGCCTTCCTCAGCATCGTCCTGGGGAGAGGAGGGGCACCACCAAATGGCCTCTGCAGGGGGCTGGTGGTCGGGGGCCTCAGCCGGCCGTCTGAGCTGCCATCTCATTTGTCCTCCTCCCAGGCCACCGCAGACCCCGAAAGATCAAGGCTGACACCCCATCCTCAGAGAATGGAGGGACCTGAGCCTCTTAGCAGGAGGGTCTCCTTGCTCGCACCCACCCCTTCCCTCTGCCTTGCACTGGAGCAAGGGCCCTGGGCAGCTTGCAGGCAGCAGGCTGGAGCTGAGGGCACCTGGATGCCCCGGGCCTGAGGCCGTTCCCTGCACAGCTATGAATTTGTGTTCCCCACCTTCCCCATTTTTTAAGCCCATGAGAGAAATACTGTAATTTTTTATAAACTAATAAACTTGAACTTCTTGGCACTTCTTGGGCTGGCTGCAGAAGGTGTGGGAAGGCCAAGTTGGGAGGACCCGCTGCCTGACCCTGAAAACAGAGGAGAGCCACTGGGGCAAGGCAGACTGAGCCCCATCCCAGTCCTCAGGGCCCTGGCCCTCCGGGAACAGTGTGCCTCTGCAGGTACAGCCTCTCAGAGGTGGTGCAGAGATCCCGGCCCCCAGCAGCCCCTCGGGTCCAGAACTCCCAGCACTGCGACTGGTTAGTGCTCCTCTCCTAGTGGGGGGCTAGTCAGCAGCCCTCCTCCTGGCTTCCTCCCCAGGGGAGGAACTTCTAATCACTGTGGTCACTTATATCCGAAATCTCTTGGGGGGGGGGGTGGCGGGGAGGCTGCCACCCAGACTCTGCATAGACAGATAAGCTTAGATCTTGCCCTTGCACCCGGATGCCTGGGGGAAAGACCTTCTCCCGTCGAAGTCTGGGGATAGGCCCTGCGGGGAGTGAGCAGTCCACTAGCAGGATTCCTGAGTCAAGGTTTATTGTTGAAGAGGAGACTGAGCCTGGCTTCAGGCTAGGGAGGCGGAAGTGAGCCCCCCCCCCCAAGCCTTACAGAAACAAAACCCCACCCTCAGAGGCTCAGTTTGCCGGGGGTTGCAGCACCAGCAACAGGGACTGCACTTGGAAAGGAGAAAAGGTGAGCTTCAGGCGGTCGTCCTGAAAGGGCAGGTGGCCAGCAGGGTCGCGCCGCTCCAGGAGGTCGCAGCTGGAGAACAGGAGGAGTCACGAGGTCCCCGCGAGGGCAGGACTCCCACCCCCCACCGCCACCCCACGCCCCGACTCACAGGACGGCCTCCTGAACCGGCAGCGATGTGTGCAGCCAGCAGTCAACGTGGCTGCCGTGGGCCTCATACAGCCGGAGGACCAGCGTGCGGCCCTGGGGGCTGGTCTCTGCCTGCGGGGGGGGGGGGGGGGGGGGGGGGGGAGGCGGGCGGTAGGCGGGGCCGAGGGTGGACCCAGCCGGGGACCCCGCCCCCGGCGCCACCCGGCCCCTTGCCTGTTTGACGGTCTCCAGCACGACCGCGGGCGAGGACACTGAGAAGGCGCTCCAGGTGGCAGCGGGCGCCGGGCCCGGGGCAGGCAGCGCCAACAGGGGGAAGTTGAGGCTGTAGGCAGCACGGATAATGCCAGCGTCCTGGAAGGAGCCTGGAAACGGGGGTACGGGCGTGGGCGTGCTGGCCTTTTCCTCACCGGCCGCTTCCGGAAACCGGCTTAGAGGCGTCCCGGCCGCAGCCCTCACCCTTGTGCGGCATCAGCGCGTAGGTGAACTCGTGGCGTCCCATGTCAGCGGTGGCGTCGGGGGCCTTGGGTGCCCGCAGGCTGGGGTGGGAAGGTTGGGTGTGGGCCGGGCCGGAGAGCGCCCACGCCTCCCCCCACCCCCGCCCCGGCGGCACCCCACTCACAGCGAGAGGCTGAGGACGCTGCCCCGGACTGACGCGCCATACTTGCAGTCGTTGAGCAGAGCCAACCCGAAGCCGTGCTCCGACAGATCCACCCAGCGGTGGGCCCACACCTGCACGACAGAGCTCCTGTCACTGCCGTGAGGGCCGCCCTGGGGCCACGGGGCTGAATTCCAGCTCTCACCTCAGGAGACCCTGGGCGCACCACCCAGCCTGTCCCGGACTCAGTCCCTCATCTGTGAAATAGGCTTAATAGAATTTCCCCACCAATCGCGCGTGAGTGTCAAACTAAACAAAGCATTTAGCACAACGCCCAGCACAGGGTAGGAGCCAGCAAGTCTTGATCACCACCCTCCTCCTGACCCCACACCACACAACCAGTGTCTCCCCAGCCAGGCACTATCCAGACCCGCGCCCCACCCCATGTCAGACCTCAAATCGAGCCCAGTCCCAGGAGGTGTTGTGGTGGGTGGGCCGCTGCAGATGCCCGAACTGGACCTCATAGGTGGCCTGGGGGCTCCGCACCCGGGCGGGGAACTCCACCTTCAGGAACTTGTGGGCCTCGTGCCAGTGCACCTGGGGTGGGAGGCCAGACGCACGCAGGCCTGGGAGGCTGCCCCCTCACCAGCCACCCCCCGGGGGGACGCCCACCACGCTGGCCTCTGCTACCTCAGTGTGGAAGCGGACATAGGGGCAGCCAACGTCCAGCACGACTTCCTGGCTGAGCCGACTGTTGGGGCTGATCTGCAGCAGGAACCAGGCACTGCCCCGCATGCCGCCCTCGGTGCCCACCGCCAGGGTCCCTGCCTGGCCCAGCACTGGCTTCCTGTGGGACGCAGTGGCAGAGCTGAGCCCGGAGGGTGGGGGTGGGGGTGGGGGGGCGGGGGCTGATGGAGGGGGCGCCGCATCCCCGGGCCTGCCCATGCCGTACCGTGTCTCCAAATGGTAGTCCATGACGTCCCAGGCGTCCCAGTACAGGGGGACATCATCAAACAGCACAAACTGATTCCCCACGGTGCCCTCAGCAATGGCTTCCCTAGAAGGACACAGGGATATGTGCTTTAGGACTTTATGACCTTGATCTCTCCAGCTGCTTAAGGTGGGGTGGGGCCGGGGAGAGTAGGCCCAAAGGACAAGGGGATTCCTAGCCCAGCCTCCCTGCTTCACGTGTAGCTTCCAGTCCAGGCCTACTGAGGGGCTGCCGTGGGTGGGGCTGGGTGGGGCCAGGGGACAGAGGGCACGCGGTCTGGGATCCACTTGTAAGGCACTGGAAGAGGGCAATGAGGAGTGGGCACCTGCCGGAGGCCACCAGCACCAGGGACGTCAGGCAGCCAGTTGGATCTAGCCTCACACGGATGATGCCATTGTCCAGAGTCACAGAGCCGTCGGTCTTGGTGGGAAGGGTCCTTGAGGCTGAGTCTGCAGGGGCTTCCCACAACCAACAGCACCCCCAGCCTGGCCCACCTCACCACTTGCTCCAGGCCAGGGAGCTCAGCATCCCCATATTAGGGACGGCCCAGGAGGCCCAGCCCACACTCACCTCTTGCACCACACACACGGGCTGCTGGGGCAGTGGGGGCTGCAGTGAGGTGGGGGCAGGAGCAGGAGCATAGCCCATGCTGGGCACTGTCACCAGGGCTGGGGGTGAGGCCTAGGTGTCAGGGCAGCCTCCCTGCCTTTCCAGGAGCCTTGCTCAGGGAAGCGGGGGGCCCGACACTTCTACTGCTGGTCTCCAGCCTGGGGCACCCCAGGGCAGCCACCCCCGGGCAGCGTCCCCACCTCTGAGTCGGGCCTCGGCCCCTCGTGCTGCAGCGGCAGTCTCTCTCCCCAGCGCATACCTAGGCCGTGCGCCCCGCCGGGCCGGGGCAGGGCCAGCACTTCAGTGCGCCTCCAAGGCAGCGTGTTGACAATGAGGAGGCCCTCAGGACCTGGCTCCCCGGCGCACAGGGCGGCGGCTGCCGTGCTGAGCAGCGTGCTGCCACGGGCACGGATGTCTGAGGAGAGACTGGCTGGTCAGGGGTGGGCAGTGGGTCTGGGATGACCCCTGAGTATCCCTCGGAACCTCCTCTGGGCTCCGCCCTCGGCATCGGGGATAGCAGCGGAGGGGAGGTCATCAGCCTCACCTTCATAGTGGCCCATGGCTTCCTCTGCCACCAGCTCGATGCAGCTGCCAGTCACCACATCATGGAACTGGTTCAGGAGCAGGAGCCTGCAGGAGCCAAGGGCAGGGATGGGGAAGGCCGGGCAGGGGGGGCCACAGGGGTGTCCGGGAGGAGGTCAGCTTAGTGGCAGGGGGTGGAAGGCGGCCACGCTGACCTCCAGAGGTCCTGCAGCTGGGCTGCCGGGTACAGGAACTGGGCGCTGCGGGCCACGGCCAGGCTGCTGAGCAGCTCCACGTCATGCAGGATCCGCTCACACTCGCGGTTCCCCTTCTTGATCTGAGCAGGGTTGTGGGGGCTCTGTCCCAGGATGCCTTCCAAGCCCTCCCCTGCCTAGAACCTGAGGCTCCCCGCCCTGGGGCCTTCTGGATCAAGCTCTTGTGGCTGACCTGCCCCGCGTGCCTTCATCCTCTCCCCTCACCCACACTCGCCCCTCTTCAGGGACACCCAGCCCCGTCTCTCCAGGCCCCCGGCCCACTCAGCTCTGGTACTTCTCTCCCTCTTGCACCTCCCTGGAACACAGACCTCTTTCCCCAGGTCTGGACAGGGCTCTGTCCCCTGCTTCCTCCTCTAACCCTCTGCAGACCCAGGGCACACCCCCTGCGGGGCTCAGTGACCAGCTCCTGACCTGGCCATGGGTGGTGTAGGTGCCATTATGTAGCTCCAGGAAGAGCTCCCCGACCCATGTGCACAGCTGCCCTGCATCGCTCTCCAGTGCTGCGAAGAGCCTCCCCGGAGAAGACAGCTGCACCCTGAGGAAGACCACAGCCTGGGTCTCCCAGCCTCGGGGCTGCCACGTGGCTCACTCTTCTTCCATGCCGGAGTGGATGAGAGATCCAGCCCCAACGGAACGGAGCCACCCCCAGAGAGCTCCCTGTCCGCGAAAAGCCTGGATGTGCCAGGAGGGTCCTCTCTCTGGTAGATTTAAGCCCCTTCCCACTATTAGCTTTTTCCCCACCCCACCCCCAGGGTGGGCTCTGGGAAGGGCCAGTGGTCCCGGACTGGAGCAAGATAAGGCCCAGCGGAGGAATTGAATCCGATGTTTGAGCGGAAAGCAGGGCTGCCCGAGGGCCCGGTCCGACCTGGGCAGCCCGTCTGTATTGTGCAGCCGCTTCAAGCGGTCCACCATGGTTTGGGTGGGGCCGCCACCCCCATCCCCAAAGCCGAAGAGGAAGGCACTGTGGTTGGTCCGCCCCTTGTCCCTGTTTTTGACCACGGTCTTCAGCACCTGGTCAGGTGGGGACAAGTCAACATGGGTCAGATTAGAACAGGACACCCAGCCCTCCTCAGCCTCCCCCACCCACCTCGGCCACTAGGTGCCCCCTTACCTCCTCCACACTGCCCTGCATCCCATACGAGTCGCCAGGTGGGAAGTGGGCCAGCACGCGGGAGCCATCCAGCCCCTCCCAGAAGAAAGTATGGTGCTGCGGGTAGGGATGGGAGAGCGGCCGGAGTCAGGGCATTCCAGCCCT